TGTACTCCAGTCAGGAATTCAWCACAGCCCAACAAGAGGTGCTGCCCTCACTGCCATACACAGAATTTGTGATTGCCTGAAGGCAGCAAGGCCCAGAAAAGCTCCTYTTCATGAGTCTTGCCTCATTTATGTTGCACTTACATTTTTGTTCACTGGAAAAAAAGAAGCCTCAGTAATTTTCAAACCCTTAAAGCAGACTAGATGGTCCGCTTAAGGCAAATCTACTTAAGAGTCAGTGAGACGTCCCCATTCTTATCCTCTCTCTTTGTACATACACAGYGTCCTTCCCTCCTTGTGGTGACATAATCGGTCATAATCAATCATAATCAATCACCTTCTTCTTTTAATGTAATTTAATACACAACTTCTCTTAAAGTAAGCCTTTCTACCTTGCATGTTCAGCTACAGGTCCCCTTTCCAGTCTTCAAACTCACTGCTGCATTTGGTTTTCATTTAGTTCAGTGCTTGAAGTGTGGCTGCTGAAATATCTTTGCACTTTTCTTTGCTGGATTTGCCCGTATATTAAAATAAGAATCTTGTATTTGTCATTAAGGCTTTCCTTTGTTTATTTTTACCCTATATTTGGGTTTTGATGCTACTTTCCTGTTCCATAAATTGCCTCCTCTCCCAGTGTCCTTTGATGGAGTCTGAGTTTTCACATGTGCTTTAGTGCTCCCCTTTACTGGGACCTTGTGAGCTTATAGCTTATATAATGTCTAAACATAAAAGAAGTTGTGACTGTAGAAGAGGACAGTAAGAATGTGTAAGAAATAGTTAACAAAGTGCTGATAATTCTTCAGGAAATCCATATCCCAGTGTACTAGATCTTCAGCCCCATTTTTGTTTGGAGAATCATGCTCTGAAAGAAACAAAGAGCAGTAAACCCTGCTGCTTTCTAACAGTGTCAGTCTCCCTTACCAATAAATACTTTTCAAAGTAAAACCACTCATCTAACCATCTAATTTCCTTCCCACCTTGAAAAAAATACATTCTGAAATCAAACCAAGAAGTTACCAGGTTATAGAATCCACTTGGATATTCAAAAATCCACTTGGGGTGTGACAGAGGCATTATTTGTATAATGCTGTAGAGAGGTATTTGAAAATCTGGATATTTATCCTTTACATACCATGATGTAAGGTCCACTATCAGACTAATAAATATCAACAAATCACAACTTTATGAATACCCTGATTACCTCTAGAAAGATTTAAAGAATATTACTAAATAAGTGATTAACACATCATTGTGTGTGCCAATTAAGTCATTCCCACCACAGGAAAGATAAAAAACCTGAAGATGGTGCAAGTTAGCTTTGCATGGAGGATGCAGATTTGGAGATGTAACCATTTGCATTAAGCAAAATTGCATGGCAAGGAACTTCTTAGAGTTCTTAAGACCAGCCTTAAGCTTAGACTGATTAGTTTCTAGTAACCTGTCTGCCAGTGCCTTTCTGTTAAGAAATGGTAAAAGTTCTGTAACASAGATAGTTTGTACTGAAATTTCATTTTCCTATGAGGAAATTTAATTGTTGTCACATTCCACAGTAAAAACAAAATAAAAACTGCAACTGACTGATTCAGTTTGTTTTGTTTTCAGAATCTGCAGTGCTTTGGCTCCTAAAAGATGCAGAATTTCCAGACTATATAATTTTGGATTCTAACTGTGTTTTGTCCCACATGCTTGTAATCTGAACACATTTGAGATAATTTCTCTGGAAACAAGGATTCACTCTTGGTTTTYAGGCCATGGTGTGCTGTCCATTCTTGAAAGAGAATTCCCCAGTGTAACTTGTGAGGTTAAAATGATTTAGGGCGTTTTTTTCCCAGAGAAGAAATTCTATTTTCCATCTAATTTAACATTCTAATAGTTATCTTTGGGGGCTTGATTCAAGCTTGCTGAAGTCCATCAGGCTCTTTCCACCGCTCACAGAGCCAATAGAATCAAATTTGCATTTGGCYTGGGTCACTACTGCCTGATTTTCAATATAATTTCTTTGTCATTAGACTCACAGCTAGTTTTATTTAGATCAGAACTGAGGATACTGGGATTATTTAATTTTTTTATTTATTAACCTGCACAGCCATTGCTCCSCATAATTAATGCAGCACATCTGGGAGGTGTTCCAGACAGGCCTATGTGAAGGCAGTCTAGTCCACACTCAAATAGGTATCTTGCCTTTTTACAAGAAGAGGTTTCTTTCTTTCTTGAATTTGCTATGAGGTCAATAATTTTCCGTAAGTTTATGTGGGGAAAAAGTTTGTTGAAACGATATCCAGGGCCTCTTTTTAACAATAATTTTCCTTTGCTATATCTCGCCAAGATTATTTAAGCCTCCCAGTGCATATTTATAGGAAGCCTGGACAAAGATGGAAAGAGGATTCTTTTTTTTTTTGAGATCTCGTTCAAGAGTCTCAGTATTTCATTGCTTTATTAAAAAGGAGAATTTTCACCCTGCTGTAGCTTTTGGATTCCTGTGTGAAAATGTGTTTTCACAGGTTATTGCAAGGTCCATAGCACACACATTCACATCCAGCAGGCAGCTGTGGCCTTTGCAGTGGTGGATGTACCCCAGACTCTTTGYCACTGTTGGCCCCTCATCTGAGCCCTGCCAGCCTCTGGAAGAGCTCTGTGCTCCCTGTCCCAGGGATAAGATTTCAAACCACTGCCATTAAGCAAATCAGAGCTCCTCTGACACAAGCTTGGCTAATGCTGCCTTAGATGGAATGAATAAATTGTTTACTGGGGGCTGTGGCATGGCTTTGASTCACCTTTGCCTTCAAAGTTGTCCAGTCTTGAGTGCTGTGGATTTCACTGACTGTTAATTTTCTTTGCTGCTTGTTAACTGCTGTTCTTCTGGTATTAAGTACAGAATGAAGAAAGGAAAATACATGTGAAAGTCAAGAGCAGCCATTTTGTCTGTTGTCTAGGCAGAGACATCTGAATACTCACCAACAGAGGGGTACAAACTTACTTGCAAGATTTTGGTATATGCTTAAAGCATTTCTGCTCATTGTAACACCAATAACAGAGCAGGATATGCCCTGGGATGAGCCCTGGGACACTGGAAGAGCCTCCCCCTCCCCAGTGCTGGTGCAAATCTTCTGTACGTTGACATGTTCCATGGTGTTTTCCAGCCACGTAACAAATTACAGGCTCTGCACTTGGCTCAAGTAGGAGAGCAAGCTTGGTGGAGCAGTGGGAGGGGCTGGTGCCGGAGAGAGCTGGACTCTGGATCCTGGAGACTGAAAATCGGTATTTTTGAGCAGCATACCTCCTCAGCCGGGTGAGTCCTGCTCCTACTCCAAATTCACTCAGGAGAAGCTGTGGAGAGGCCCTCACTGGCATGACACGTCATGTAGGCTGTGTTCCTTTYGGGATTTCCCAGCAGAGGTCTGTCTCATCAGAGAGATGCCAGTACAGCCATCATTCTTCATTTCCCACAAAGAAACTTGCAAGAGGAGAAGCTTTGAAAACAGCCATCTCTTTTCCAAACTGCACTCYGATCAGAAAACTTGGAGAAGTTATAATAGGAAAAAAAAAGTATCCTTTTTTTCTTTAGTTGTGTTCTCAAGCTGTTCTGAAGGGTTTATAAACCAGGGCATGCAGCTGTGCAATGGATGATCTGCATACTTGCTCATTCCCTGACTACAGGCCAGAGGCTTCTCTGTGACAATATATGAGTTCTGACTGGGCACCAGGTCTGAAAAATGTATGTACGCATTGTCATTGAACATCTGGAATTTAGAACTGCTAATGGATATGCTGTGATAGAAAAGAAAAGTGTCTGGCCAATAAACTTGGTTTATATATTTATTTTAAAAAGCATTACCACATTTCTGGCTAGTAGCCTTTCATCCTCTAGACTTTACACCAGTGCATCTGGAATGCTAAGCAGCTCTTTCAGGGATGCAGCCATATCCCAAAAGGCACCTTTTTTATTTGAAATAACCTCAAAAACTAATTAAAAAAAGGAGGAAGGCTTACATACCCAGCCTTSTATATCAGCTCCTACAATCTCAGAAACCACAGGTGAAAATTCTCTCCCAGACTCTCTGTCAACCTACTTTATTTTCCAGGGTGCTGCTATGAGCATGTGCAGCTGTCTTTGGATAATGTATTTTGACTTCATTACACGTGCAACTCAAAAGAGCAATTGTGAGAGAGCATTTTGAGTTCCTACATGTCACTTTGACCCCCCTTGTCACTGTAGCCATCGAACCCGAGTGCGGAGCAGATGCCAGGGTCCCTGTGGTCACCTCCTGTAGGGGCAGGGATAACCCCTTTGGGCAATTCAGCCTCTCTCAAGTGCTGGCAAAGAGCAGTAAAAGAAAGAATCAGAGACCAGCAAAGAGAAAATTACAGGACCATTGCCGGTCCAGGCATGCTCATAGGCAGCCAGCAGAAAATTACAGAAATTTTACCAGAAAATTACATTCCAYGATGATGCATGAAGTGTATTTCAGCCAAGTTAAAGGCACGTCTTGTTTGCAGCCCACCTTTACAGCTGTGAAGCTCTGGCAGGGACAGTTTCATGTCTTGACGCAAAGTGAAAAGTTTCCCCACATGCAGGTTGTCTTTCATTTGATTGATTATTGTTTCTATAAATCTCATCTCTTTACAAAATGTGCTCTGTGCACAGAGTATTTTTTAGGTGGGAACCAACTCCAAGCCAACAACACCAACAAGTGCCCCTGCATCCATGAGGATTTGTAGGGCTGGATCACCGAAAGTCTGGAGAAACAAGACACATTTTTACTTTCTTCACTCAAGATTAGGAATTAGTCTCAAACTGTGAAACTATGTGTAAAAGATCAGTTTTTTGTGGTCAGGCCACCCAGACATCTTAATGGCAGCTGTTTTGACATCCWCACGATGGCATTGAAGGTTCACAGAGGACATGAGAAAAACAATTAATGATCCCCCTTCCCACCTGTTTTCCACCCAAGCTCCCACGATTGGCTTCATCAACAAAACCAGAACCAGCCTGTTCAGTGCTTTATAAAGCTTTATTGCAAGATGTGTTTACATAATGCTGTAGAGGTGAGCTTTTTAACTACTTATATCAAGAAATTTTGGACACTGGTCTGTGGTCAGTTTTCCATATTGACCCTGCATGGCACAGAAAAAAAAAATAGGGTGTGATTGGATCTTTCCAGACAGTAATGTGGGAAGAGTTGGGGGACAAGAGGCAGATAAAAACAGAATCCCCCCTAGTTTAGACTAAATGTGACACAGCTTCTGAAGGATCAATGCAAACGGTAGGTGAGCTTCGTGTGTAATAAAATCTTAAAAGAGTAATTCAAGTTCTTTATGAAATAAAACAGAAATAAAAACGCATTTTCATGGACAATTAAATTTAACATAGAATGAATTCACCTAAAATGAGAAAACAACAAACAGAACCAAAAACTCAACCAAGAGGACCTGTAGATAATATCTCTGACCATGCATGGCTTGTTTTTTAAATTACAATTCACAGAATAACACTGCTGGAGAGCCTATTTTACACTATGCTACATGGAAAAACATGARTAGTGACATTTACACAATTTTACAGTATTTCTCCTTTGTCTAAGAAACACGTCCTTTTCTACTTTACATTTTTTTACAATTCCCAGCTCACAAAAAAAGGACACTATATGCGCAAAAACAGTCTTTAAAAAGGAGAAATGCATCCAATGCTACAAATAAACCTTTTCTTTCACAGAAGCCTCTGTGTTAGATAGTGATTAAACAAAATATCTCTATCTGCCACTCAATGTGAAATGGACTAATTAGAATTTTTTTTGGCGTAAACATAAAACTATACAACATCTCGGAAACTCCTTGCATTACTTGCTACGTAACTATTAAACTGCTTGCCAAAAACGTCTTGGGGTCACATCTGAAATGCCAATTGAGCCAGTTCCTGCCCCAGTTCAAGCAAAGGAAGGTGGGCTTTACATGCCATTCTAATGTTTGTCAATGGTTTTCAATAGTTGCCTAAAACCAAACATTTTCTCTTTCAAAAACACCTCAGTTTATTTTCTTTCAGAGCCTGTAAGTACCTGGCAGTTTTTCCTCCAGAGGAACATTGACAGGTATATCCCTTCCAGCTTAGACAAGTGTTTTCCTGCTGCTGGAAGCGCAGAGCCACCCTGTGAYTGCGTCCTGGGGCCAGGCTGCCCACCAGCGCACGCATTGCCCGCCGTGAAGGAAACGGGAGGACTGCAACATGTGCAGTGAGCTACAGGAGTGAAAACAAGAGGGGAATATCTCCTGCTTCTGCCCAACTCCATGTCTCTGTGCATCCTTTGGACAGAGGCAGGCAGCATGTGCACCTGTCCATGGGCTGCAGAGGAAGGATGAAGGACGTGAAATTGGTGGGCTGACACCTTGTTCCCATTTCACCTCTGTGAAAGCAAAGCATTGCAATAACCACAGCAGCATAGTTGAACCCAGACTCTGCCATCAGCCACACAGTGGCACCGTGCCCCTCAGGGCTGCAGCGGTGGCTGAAGTCCTTAATGCAACTTCCCAATAGCCTTTAGTGTTGGCCAGGGTACATTTAGAGCACAGCACACCAGGGATTTAAGGTGCTGTCCTGCAGAACCTTGCAGGAGGCCCTTGCTGCTCACTCACATCAAGACTCTGACTCCAAATTTCTGTTAAATTGGGAAATTAACTGTTATTTTGATATTCACATGTGATTATCTATTACACTACAACCAGTCTTGTCTATCTACAAAACTGATGCCTTACTTTGCTGACAGAATCAACCACTGCAAAGATTTAGTAAAAAGGGTGTCAAAAGAGAAAAAGAAATCAACTTTCAAAATCATGTTTCATGCTGCTTCAGCACTTAAGGAAGAAAAACTCTCATTAAATGATTTTTTTTTGGTTGATTTTGGATTATGGACAAGGAGCTATCAAAGAGAAAGGTCAGACGTAGCAGCCAAGGGGCTATAAAACATCTGGAATCCATAAGCCTGGTGTTTGGCCTGACTGAAAGGTGAAGAGTGATGAATTTAACTTTTGTGAGGGATCTTTTACCCTCGAGTGTGGCACACAAGAATTCCCTGGATGTGTCKTCACTGCAACCACACAACTGCTACTGAGCGTTATCTTTGCTTTGGAATGAGATTATAGAAAGTATTTGTATGCAGTCTGCTTTTAAACACGTGAGATGAAAGAAAATTAGGATATCTTCCCTTTGGAGGCTATTTCATGTGCTAAAGTTTACCTCAGCATCCAGCTCAGAAAGGTATCATGGTGGCAGTCAGACAGACAAATTATTGGTAGCAGATGAGTGCTGAAATGAACACCAGCAGTGACTCTGAGAGCTTGGTGGAGTTACAAAGCTCTGGGCACTGCATTTGCCCTGACTGGTTCTATGGGAAAGGGAAGAAAGGTAGTTATTATGGCTGCAAGTGTTTAAAAACAGCCTTCATGGATCTCTAAGTGAGAAATGGAACATGTGTTACATTGTGTACCCAAGACTTTGATATTTTTCACAAACCAATCYGTATCTCACACAAAACTTATCTTAAAACAGGTATGACATCCTTATAGTGGGCTCTTCCATGAAGAAGATGAAGGAAGGGCAGGCAGCAGCTCTAAACCTGAAGGTTACCATCTCACTAGACAGACAGAGGCATACAAAATATTATGAATTCCTCCATTTCATTAGGAATCCACTATAGTGTTAGATGAAGGGCAACAAAAAGCCATTCCTACAGTCAGGACATGCTGGCAGACTCTGGAAGAAATACTGCCACCTTACAGATTAGTTGGTCACTTTTATCAGGAAYCTTCAGAAAGGTTCCTTCAGAAAGGAAATCTTTTCTGTAGTTACTGCACTACACTGATGATTTTTTGCAATTAACTGAGGAGAGTGGAATTTATCTGATTATATGGAATTGCATAAACAAGACCAAGTTATTCTTCAGAAAAGTTGGTATCAGTCTTACAGATAGAGAGCACAAACAGAAAAACAAATACAACAGCAAAGGAAGAATATGCTTCACATGTAAGACACTTGCACCCAGAGAATCTGGAAGAAACCACCTTTTGTTTCCACTGAACTGATTCTAGCCTGTATTATTCCCCATATTTAATGGTCTCCTTGATAAGTAGCATATAATGTTTCGCACAGTTTGGAAAATCCATATGCCCAACTATTAGTAATTCATCATCTATGTTATGTTCCACAGACAGATGCTGTACTGTGTTTAAATGAAACACAAATGTCTTCCATACCAGCAAGTGGCCACCAACAGTCAAGGGGTCACCAATTTTGCACATTCAACATATTTTAACTAAAATATTAAAGACTTGCTTGATTTTCTCCCTCCAACCAAATATAGGATCTCTGTCAGCATAAATGCAGTCTGTTTCATTTTTCTTTTTTTTTATCACTTAGCAAGTAGCACAGTTCAACATGACCATTACATTCAGAGTGTCTTCCTCTTGTTTCAGACTTCAAACACCTCCACGAACCCCCATTACCTTCATTTCTTTGTTCTAAGCATCCTTAAGCGAGATTTGAAAAGTCCATAATGGCGAGCAGCACATAAAGATCCAGATTCTTGTAGGTCTTGCATATTTTTCAGTGAAATTAGTTATATGCCACTTCTGTTTCCTAACCAGCTTCCTTCTTTCCATAGCCTTCAAACACACAACATATTAGACTGATTACCCAACGACTGCCTTCTCTACTTGTAAAATCTGCATTTCAACGAATTGAGGGGAAAACCACATCAAACTCAATGCTGTTCTTAAGAACCATGGCTCATTAGTGATTTTTTACTTCATGGGAGATCCAAGGCATCAGCAGATAAAGAATGAAATGTAATAGTCAAGAGGGTGGACTGCATAGACTGGATGTCCAGCCACAGTTCTCACTGCAGTGTTGTCAGCAACCTGGCTCTCTCACCACTTGGAAGTTGTGTTCAATATGATGTGATGGATGACCGAGGTTACAAAGGTTTATTGTGTTTGGTTCAACTCTCCTGAACAATCTTCAGCCATTATCCTGTCCTTAAAGAGAGCAGAGTAGAATAACTTGAAGTACCTGACTTAGCTTGGGTGCCAGATGCAACACAGCTATGGCATTAGGACCCAGCATAGACTATTTAACTCTACTTTCCAAGTGTGTTTTGCAGCCAAAATCAAACCCTGTTGCCATGATTGAACTGCTGCAGTTCCTCAGTTAATCATGTGGAACAAAGTCTCAGCTGTTACTGCTGTGCAGACATACCCTTCATCTTAGAGGCTAAGGCAATGGAAAGAGACAATCTTGTGCATTCTTGAGGATCAATTGGCCATATACAGACTTTGGCTTAAAAAGTTCCCTTTTATGTTATTGTTGTTTGCGGTTCTCTTCAAAAAGACTCCAGCACTGGCTGGGGTGGCTGTGCTCAATTCATCTTCACTGCTGTATATGTCCTCCACTTAAAGGCAGATGAGTTGACTARAAGTTCTTCAAACATGCTGAGGGCAGTTTATCAAACTCAGTTATAAAACACTGAGACAAGGGCAAATACATAGGAGTTGTTTACTGTGGTACCCACTCCACTTGTACCAAGGATAACCACAAAAAACCAGTAAAGAACAGCAAAAACACAGCAGGCTKTTTTAGCAGGGCTATTTCATATTCAGATTCATTAAATTGAAATAAAATCACCACCACATTATCTTGCAGCAGAGAAAAGCAGCATGAAGGGCACAGGCAAGTGAACAAACTTCTTGATCTTAGCATCCAAATGCATTTATCGAGTATGTAGAATGGTTGACATAGATCTCTCTGAAACTGTACAAATGCAGAGTACAGCCATAGCTCAACAAGAGAGAGAAATTGTGTTCTCTCCTCTGTGTGCATRCTGCTATGTACAGTATGAGTGTGCATGAATGCACGTGAATTCAGGATCCTAAACTCTCCACTTGTACTGCAGGCCCTGGCCTGCCCCACAGGGTCAATCACTGAACAACACTGAGTTCCTGCAAAAAAGACATTCTTTTCCTCCTGTCCAGTGGAACAGTAAGGCCCCACAGTGAAAATCATGGTCCATCTAGCTTCAGCCAGAGCATGATTTCACACCATGACTATATATGTACAGATACATGCACACATCTCCACACATTCATTCTGTACATATACAAAGGTACACATACATTTTTACATTCTTTGGTGGCAAAATAATTAAAAAAACCCAACAAACCACAGGGCTGCACAGACTGTGCATCTTTGCTTAATGAATCTGCTTCAGGAAAACTGGGGTTGCTGTAACAGGAGTTATTTTGCCTCTTTAAGGACTGTTCCTTGCATTGACAAAATGCCATACATTTACAATGACTAAAACAGGGCACAAGGAAAGCCAACGTAAACACAGCTCACATAATGACAATAACTCAGAGAGCCCCCTCCTCCCCACATCAACACAACACGAGGAGAAGAAGCCATGTGCTTTCACCTAGGAACACTCAAATGCCTCCTCAGTTACCATCTGGATGTCACGCTGAGCTGTGGCACACCCTTCTTCTGCCCTGGATGTGGGGTTTTGTTTTCAGTTGCTTATTAAAATGGAGCTAACAGAGGGCAGGATGCTGGCAGCAGCAGAGGAGGCAGTTCAGTGCAGCACTGACGGGTTGTCAGCCTGTGTGCTTCAGGTGAACAGCTCTTCTTGTTGCCACCTCYGGGGTGTCAAACCTGCATCTCAGAAGTGCTGATGAGGCCCAGTGCTTTGGCTTCTTCTGGTGTTAGCCCACTCTTTAGTGTCCTTCTCACTGGAGAGTCATGAATTCCACAAGCAGGCAAAACAAAAAAAAAAAAAAACCCAAACAAAACGAAAAAAAAGCAACAAAGAAAATGCAAACAATTAGAGTCAAGGATTGCTCAAAATTTTCAGCTGCAAAAAACCCTGTTAACATGCAAGCTCGATCAAATAAAAAGTTGCTATCTACTCAGGGCCTCAAGTTCAGCAACACTGAGTAATGCCCTATGGCAAATTCATGGCAGCATCGAGTACTCAGGCAAAAATATATTTGTCATTTGACATTTAGTTAACAAAAAGTTTTAAGGAAAAATACCCCAGCTTTTTAAGACTTTATTTTTTCTCTGAAACTTTATCAGTTGATTTTCCTAGAAAGTATCATCTGCCCTATTATTTCATAATTTCATAAGATTTTTTTAAAAGTTCTTTGGGATCTCTGTAGGGCACTATTGAATTTGTCACTATTAAACCCTTTGAGACCCTTTAAATGTGTGAAACCTTACMCCCAACATTAAAAGACTATAAATGTGACTACTTTATAATTGATTCAAATCATTAAAACTGAAATTAAAATTTCATACACACGACCCTTTCTTTTGTAATGTTCTCCCATCCTAGCACCATTTGTGTCATCTTTGCCATTGGTAATCTGCAGGATTTTAGCTGAATTTAAATTATAAATGTAAGCCAAAATCTTCTTTCTTAATTTTCCATGAAGTGTTGTGAACACCMGCCCTGACAAGACTTCCAAACTTTGTGATTGCCTTTTTTATTGAGAAGCAAGTGACTGTGTGATTGCACGCACTGAGCATCAGTGTCCTAGTTTTACTGGTGCTGTGATTTTCAGGTGGATGGGCTTGAATTCAAGACACAAGTGGGGTGTTCACACTTCGATGTTCCTCAAGTACAAAAAGCACATTGAGAAGTTCAAGCTACATGCAAAGCATAAACAGTGACTTAATGTTGAACAGAATACATTTGGAGCCCCAAAATAGYGAACTCTAGAGGAAATTAGTCTTAGAGAAACCAATTGCAAAYAGTGGTCAAGGAATTCTTGCATTATTTAGCACAATTATGGTCTCTAATTTTTTCAGATATTCAGTCCATGTAACTGAAACTGGGTGGTCACACTCAAGGTCGAGCAGGAGTGAGAGGAGGGAATGGGCTGGCATAGAAAACAAAGGGATAAGATAAAGGAAGAATATGACATAGYTGAACATTTGTTACCATGCAGGTTAAATGAATGGGATTTATGTTTGATAGTCAAACCGCTTTCATCTGTCTCTGAGGTTAATCCAATGAGCTGGGAATGCCATGTGTGTAGTTCCTTCATTATCAARCCCTCACTTGAAAACATTTTTGCCAGGCTCAGTCCTTTCTCCTACATTATTTGCATTATTAAACGCGACCAGCAGTCTGCATGACAGCCCTTTAGGATACCCCATTTTTCCTACAATACTGATCAGCAAAATCGCCCAAGTTGAACAATACTTAGCCTAAAGCACTACAAGGTTAAATGAAACTGACAAAACAAAGTTTACGAAGGACTGAAGTACTACCAGAAGAGAAATAAACATCAGAAAATGCTCTGGTCTCCTTGGTGAAGGATACCCAGTGGGGCTTTTGCATCAGTTGTCATCACTGGCACTCTTTCTGGCTTCTCAAATTTTATATCCAAAATGTCTATGGTGACAAATATTAATTTCTAGACATATGCTGTGGAATACCTTAGGGTCTTAAGTTCTCAGTGAATCACCCAATGCTTATTTCTGAACTGTACCAAAATGAATTGTATCAGGAGCAGAAGAACAAATCCAAGAAAGCTGCTGTAGAAATATTTCTGTCATATAAAACCCAAAGATTTCCCTGTGTATTTCACCTGCTGAGCTGCCTGCACTGCCTCTCCCCTGAACGCTTTTCTTCTGTACCTCTGTAATATCAACAGCCAAACATGGACTGTAGCTTGCTTGGCCACCAGACAGCAGTATCATGCTAAAAAATACAAGAAATCAAACTTTCCCAGGTTGACTGTCTAGATGACATTACATCTTCCAACTGACGCAAAAGTGAACTGGAAAACCAAATGTGGAACAAATTTCCACTGTTTAGACACTTCTGCAGAAGTGTCAAACCAAATGGATTCATGGCTGCTCTCACACATCCCTGACTCTGTCAGACCACACTCATTCACTCACATTTGCCAAGTGAACGCAGTAACTACTGTAAAACAAAGTCATTTATTTCTTGTCAAACAGGAAGAGAACAAATGGTTATTCCTGTTTGCTAACATTTCACAGGAACTGATGTACTCTGCTAACACTGGTTATGTACTGGGCTAAGCTAAATTCTGCTCTTATTTATGATAAGATAAATGTAGAACAGCCTTCTTTAGGTTAGTACAATTGCTACTGCACAAATAACTGAGCTGAGACTGTAACAACTGAATGGGAAATGTGTGCCTCTGTAACTTCCATCAAACAAAGCACAGTTGTTTCAATTCCTCCATCAGCCTGAGTGAGAGAATTACTAGTTTGCTAGGAAAAGCCAAATGGATTTATGATAACGTATGGATCTCTTTGAAGAAAACTACAGGAGTTTATATTCAGAAATCATAATCAAGAGTTACAATACCATGGTAGAAACAATCTTCATGGAAAAGCAAGTAGTCTTCACATTAAACAAGGTAAGTTTTTGAATCTCCAGATGCCTACCTATCAAACACATTAAAGTATTACACTGAGATCCTTTTGTATTAACCCTTTAATGACTGAAGAAAGGAAATCCTGTATGTAGCAGGTGGCAAAGATGGGTGCCCTGTTCTAGTTTTGCTGTATGATTCACACAAGGAATTTGGAGACGAACCCCAGACTTTTATTTTTTGTGCCACTGCAAAAGAAATAGGAATGATAATACTCAATAAATTGCTGGGACATACACAGCTGTAATTAAACAAAATATCTGACTGTTCTAGCTTAGCTCTCCTTTAATAGAGAGAATGATAACTTGGGTTTAAGATATCCCAGCTACTTAAGGTATTAAGGCCAGCAGMTAGGAAAAAAGAGCTCCAAACTATGCAGAACTTTGGTGGTCATAATGAGATTGTCAGGAAAATAATAAAAAGCAAAGATGTAAAGAATCTCTTCAGTGACAGAATGATCCCATAAAAACTGATGCCTGCTTACTTGTATAAACTAAGTGTGTGGGGCCAAATACCGCAAAGTACTGTGGCTACTGGCAAGATTAAAGCTGTCCACCATCAACAGGCAACTGGAAGGATAACAGCTGACAGAACCATGGTCCAGACTCAAATGAGGGAATTCTTAACCCTACAATGCAACAGGCCAGACTGACACAAATGAAGACACTTAGTGCTTGAAGTATTATTGTGTACTCAGGGAGATCAAAGTAGTCTGATAAAGTATATATAAAAATATAAAAAATTATATAAAAATTGTATCTGATATGCACAAATTACAATTTCCACATTTTTAGATAGAGTGAATAGGTGCAGCATCCATAGTAACACAAGTTCCAGCCTCACTACTCTCTGCCTTGACTTGTTGAATATGGAGGCTTGTGGGTGATGAAACCAGGAGAAAGTTGAGTTATCTGCAGGAGCAAAAACTGCTCTGGGAGGTGTGTGAACCTTGTCTTGACATTCTGTTAAGCAGATGTCCTCAGTCATTTGTCTGTTTCCTCATAAAGTGCTTGGTAGGGTTTCTCTGCCTTAGGTCAGAACACGTTCCATCATCAAAACTGAATGCGGGAGATATTTTCCTTCCATGTTTTATAGGCAATGCAAAATTACATTTCTCAAMCTAGATCTTCAGTCTCCCTGCTTCACTGAACTTTGTCGTGTCTTTAACTGGACTAGACATAATATCTTGGCTTGTAAAACTCCTGGCCTGCTGCAGATCACATTAAACTCAGTTATGGAATGTATTTTGGAGGCAGTGACAATAAAAAGAAGMCTTTCAAATGACCTTTTAGGTTCTTCAAGCAATTTTTAAAACATTTGCTAAAGAAACATAACATACAGAGAAAATAACTTTTGCTCTTGTCACAAGCAAGGCCTGCTGAGATCCCATAACTGAGAAACTAAATGTTGTTTTTCTGGGGTTAGAGGGTATGATATTCTTTGTTAATCATGAAATCTACCATTTTATTTGATATCCTGGCAGAATGTAGTGTGCTTATAATGAACTCAATGAAATTGACTTTGCCTGTTGGATCAAAATCTACATAGAAACATAGCACTCACACTACACTGGAAAAATTTTAAAAAAGAGTAATTCCCTAAGCATAGTTTTGTCAGAGAATATAATTATCTAGGGATTGGTTGTTTTTTTAAAGAGCAAATAGCACTTCTAATTTCCTCTCTCCCTACCTTTTTTTTTTTAAGAGTCAACAAACAGTAAAGATCAGTCAGTCTGGCACCACTTATTCTTGCATTTACAATGGCTTTTGGCATGTGTGTCTGCATTTGTGCGAGTCACTTGTAAGGCAGAATAGATATGACCATTCCTCTGCTCAGGCAGAGAACGAGTGCCATTCCTGCTACAAAGACATGGCAGCCACAGAACTTTCCCTCGGTCCCAGCTACAGAGGTGATGCAGCTGCAAGCTGCTGATTTGAAATGAAGATTCCATGGGGCTGTAAATTCCACAGTGAGGACAGCAGGAAGGRAAGATTATAAGAGACAACACAGACCAGCTCCATAATCTCATTTCATTTAATGTATCTTAGGTTTCTTTTTCTGTTACCTATCCTCTTTCAACTTGCACACTTGGTCTATGTTCTTCATGTATTTACATTTAATATATTATCTTGGACTCTACTACAGTGAGTCCAGTAATGGCAATTTGTAACTCAAAAGTTCAATCCAATCAGTCTTGCTCATATTTTCTTGTWTTAATCTTGTCATGTTTTGATGCCACTGTCTATATAAGTTACGTTCAAGTATGCATATATCATTTCTTAATACCAGTAGGCTTAAATGCTTAATAGAAATAC